TGATTTTTAAGGCATTTCTTCTATTTTAGTCTCCAGCTTACTGTGAGGTCATGGGAGCCCTTTTCTTGTATGATACATTTCCTAACTTTACCAGAAGAAGCAATCCCATAGCTAGCATTTAGACTTGATGGGTACTGGAAATCGCTGAAGCATTGTCAGTCTCTGGGAATGAGAAAACCCAAATCTTTTCCATCTAAATGGATTCTTTTTTTTTCTCAGAGTGGGAAGGAGCTGATATTTAGGTAGGACTCTGTTTTTGCTCTCCAAACTCCGAGAAAGGTTGTCATGAAAGGGCAACACAACAATTAAAAGCTGTTGGGTATGAGAATGACAAGTTTGGCTGGCATGCAACACAGTGCAGCTGAGATGAGTATTCTCGATTAATGGGCAAACATGACACAATTGTCTCTTTCAAGCCCAGAGTGCTAATATATAATACACAATCAGAGGGCATTGTACATTGGAACAGAACTCATTAGCCAGTGCCAGTTCTTTGCCCCCAAGAAATAAAGTAGTATGTTGTCTATAAAAGCCATAATTTGAGTCTTTTCAATTTGCAGCTACAGACCAGGTGAGGGATTTCAATTTGGGAAGAATCCAAATGGAACCAGGAATGGGAATTCCTGTTGGAATTCATCAAAGCAAAATCAGTGGTTGGTAGAATGAGGAATTGGTGGGGGGCGGGGGGGGAAGCGAATAGGATGGGAAAGTGGAACGAGTTTGACCTCTCATGCCTCCCACCAGGAGTCCCAGTCAAAGAACTTAGGCAAATCTGGCTGAGGCAGTATCTGGCCTTTGTGAGGGACATCCTAGAATGGACATGTCCCTGTGTGACTGCCCAGTGAATACCAAATGCGTTGGGTCATTTTATTCAAACCTGGAGGACTTGGCTGCCCAAGCACATGCTCTGTGGATGAACTCACTTTTGCTTTAGTCCATATGGCTGCTGAAGTCTGAGCAGCTCAGACAGCAAGGGACAGGAGAAAGGAGAACACAGGGCGGGTGATCAGAGAAATCCAAGGAAGGGATTGAATTACTGTCAGATGAGAGGGTGTGGGAGCTTCTGGGACAGACTGATGGGACAGTCTAACTGGCTGGCAGGGAGCTGTGAACTGTCACAGTCCACTGTGGTGAGCCAGCTGCCTTGTGTATGGCATGCATGCAGAGTGCAGGCTAACTAGGCAGGAGGAATCTTCACATTTACCAAAAACACCCAGCAGTACACCAGCCCACCCAACCGGAAAACAAAGCATGCCCTTTAGACTCCAATTCCCCCAAACCAAAGAAACATTTACAATGTTATCCAGTTTCTTGTTTCATAGGGCATTTCTCTATCAGTCTTTCACAAACACTTATTAAGAGCCCTCTCAACGTCAGGCACTGTGTGGGGTACTGGAGACATGGAGGAAATATGTACGGTACTTCCCTCTAAGGAGTTCACCATCTAGTAAGCAATTACAAAAAAGGAAAAAATACAGTAAGAACTGGAGTGAAAGAGAGTACAACAGTGGACAAAACAGACAAAAATTCAGGCAAGTTACTTTCTAGTGGTGGTCAGGGAAAGGCTTTCTGAGAAGATGGTATATGAGCGCAGACATGAAAGATGTGAGCAAATGTGCTTTGTCAATTTCTGGGATTATGCTTGTAGGTTTCATCATTGTTTCTGCTGCCCTCAAGGAGATTGCAAAACATTACACATGCACTCACAAGTGCACCCACACAGACACATATTTACTTTTATTTACAAATATAATACCTCTGCCAAACTATCTACAAGTTGTGTTCTACTGATGACATTCCTGGTAATGATAATAGGTTTGAAGGGAGCAAACCATCTATGATCTCCTGCTCTGACCTCCAGTGATCAAGGACATGCCGACATCTGCTAAGCCTCTGGCTCAGATTGATGGGTAAATCTCTGGTCATGGGAGCTTTATTCTCATTCCAAATGAAGCTAAATGGTCCATAAAATTAAAGTCCTGACCTTTTCATATCATATTCTACCAACCAGATGGAACAACATGCTCAAAAAAAGAAAGACAATCAAGATGTAAAAATATACACACAAAACATACGCAGAAAAGACAAACATTAAATTATTACTAGATCTGAATGGCCATGGGGGATATTGTTACCATGGTGAGGTCATGGATAAGAGACTGGATGGGATGGGAGGAAACTATTGGATGGGCATAATGGAATCTGTGGCATTCAAAGGGTGGTTTCTGTGATTAAAGACACAAACTCTTGAGCTGTATGTGGATCACAACTTGCATAATCTGGTGCCTATCTTCTGGGCACAGTTCCTGGAACCGCGCCTGCCACATGGTAGATGCTCAATAACTGTGTATTGAGTGACTAGTGAACTGAACAATCAAATGGTCGCTAATGAAGTTTCTTTTATTTCAATTAATTTTATAAAAAGATAATATGTTGACACAGCTCAACATTTGAGTCCAAAAGGATGTTGCCAAGTCTTGATCTTATCTCATTACCTACCCATCCAGTTCCCACATCGTACACATCAGACTCCTCCCTTAACCATTGTCATTAGTAGTTTCTTGTTTATCCTTCCAGATTTTGTTTATGCAAATCAAATACAAATATATTTTTATTTTGTTATGCAAAAGATAACACAACACTTTGATATCAACCTTGCTTTTTCACTTAATAATGTCACTTAAAAATTTTTCCACCCTCAACTTGGAGAGTGCCTTCCATTATTTTATTTTATTTTATTTATTTTTATTTATTTATTTATTTTGAGATGGAGTTTCGCTCTTGTTGCCCAGGCTGGAATGCAATGGAGCGATCTCAGCTCACTGCAACCTCCGCCTCCGAGGTACAAGTTATTTTCCTGCCTCAGCCTCCTGAGCAGCTGGGCTTACAGGCATGCGCCACCATGCCCAGATAATTTTGTATTTTTAGTAGAGATGGGGTTTCTCCATGTGGGTCAGGCTGGTCTCGAACTCCTGACCTCAGGTGATCTGCCCACCTTGGCCTCCCAAAGTGCTGGGATTACAGGCGTAGGCCACCGCGCCCAGCTGTCTTGCATTATTTTTACAGTTCTCATTATTTCCATTTGCATGGGCATTCCAAAATTTATTAAACCAGCCAATATGGATGGACATCTGTGCTGTTTCCAATTCTATCAAAAAAACAAAGGTCTAGGCTGGGCACAGTAGCTCACGCCTGTAATCCCAGCAATTTGGGAGTCCGAGGTGGGTGGATCACTTGAGGACAGGAGTTCAAGACCAGCCTGACCAACACGGTGAAACACCGTCTCTACTAAAAATACAAAAATTAGCTGGGCATGGTGGCAGGCGCCTGTAATCCCAGCTACTAGGGAGGCTGAGGCAGGAGAATCGCTTGAATCCAGGAGGCAGAAGTTGCAGTGAAGCCAAGATCATGCCACTGCACTCCAGCCTGGGCAACAGAGTAAGACTACGTCTCAAAAAGAAAAAAAAAGAAAAAAATAGATAGCATAAGTTCTCAAAAACAGAATTGCTGGGTCAAAGAGTCCACGGACTGGTAATTTTGGTTTATTATTATTATTATTATGAGAGACTGGGTCTCACACTGTCACCCAGGCTGGAGAGCAGTGTTATGATCATAGCTCATTGTAACTTCAAATTCCTGGGCTCAAGTGATCCTTCTGCCTCAGCCTCCCAAGTAGTTGGGACTACAGGCACATGCCACCACCTGGCTAATTTTTTATGTTTTTTCTAGAGACACCCAGGCTGGTCTCGAGGTCCTGGCCTCATGCGCTCCCCCTGCCTCAGCCTCCCAAAGCACTGGGATTATAGGCATGTCACTGTGCCTGCAGGTAATTTTACTTACATATACAAACATATAACCAAATTGCTTCCAAAGGGGTTTAACTAAGCTATACACTCAGCAGCAAGGTAAAAGAATCCCTGTTTCCCCACAGCCTCGCCAATAGTTTCATCAAACTTAAATTTTTGCCAATCATAGGTTAAAAATCAAATCTCAGTAGGGTTCTGCTTTGTGTTTCTCTTGCTGTGAAGCAGAACACCTTTTTATTTCTAGGAAGGGACTATTCATACCTTTCTTATGTTTATATTAGTAGTCTTTTGATACTTGGCTTATAGGAGCACATTGTATATACAGAGATTAGCCTTTTCTTTGTCATGCATGTTGCAAACACTTTTTTCCGGTGGTGTGTTGGTAAATAATAATGGCTCTCTGGTAAAAATGAACTCAGGTTTATAGCATTTGCCAGTTTCCATGGTGTAAATAGCCCCATGAGGGATGATTTCAAGCTACCAACGTTATGTCACTAAATGTGGAGTTCAGAAGAAATGTGCAGCAGCACACAATTATATACACAATACAATACAAACACACATCTGCATTCGTACAACACAAACACAACAATAGATGTGACCAGGCACGGTGGTTTACAACTATAATCCCAGCACTATGGGAGGCCGAGGCAGGTAGATTACATGAGGTCAGGAATTCGAGGCCAGCCTGGCCAACACGGTAAAACCCTGTCTACTAAATACACAAAAATTAGCCAGGTGTGGGGCACACACCTATAATCCAGCTTACTTGGGAGGCTGAGGCAGGAGAATTGCTTGAACCCAGGAGGCGGAAGACGCATTGAGCCGAGGTCACCCCACTGTACACCAGCCTGGGCGACAGAGTGAGACTCCATCTCAAAAAAAAAAAAAAAGAAAAACCCCCAAAACAATAAACCTCAAGCATTAATGATAGCAAAATGTAGTTAAATAATTAGGAAGTGATGAATTTTTCAGTATTTATTACTTTTGATTCTAACATACTTTATTTAATTATGTTTCTATAATTTAATTTTTAATAATAACTGTGTTTGACAACCAGCTTGCAAAATTCCTGAAAACGTAACAATCAGTTCATATGAGCCAGTGCAGGCCAACTTCAAAGCACCTTTTTTTCCCAGTTTGTTGTCTTTTGACTTTCTTGTTTGTTTGGTTTTTTTACTTTCTTTCTAAAGATGTTTTTCACCATACAAAAGCTTTAATTTTGATGCAGTTGCATTTATCAATCATATATTTTATGGACTCAAAATTTTGTCTTTTTTGTTTTTGTTTTTCAGGCAGGATCTCATTCTCTTGCCCAGGTTGGAGTTCCGTGACTCAGTCATGGCACACTGCACCCTTGATCTCCTGGGTTCAAGCAGTCCTCCCACCTCTGTCTCCTGAGTAGCTGGGACCACAGGCACTCACTACCATGCCCAACTAATTTTTTAATTTTTTTGTAGAGATGGAGTTCCACTATGTTCTCCAGGCACGGGCAATCTAAAAACAAATAAACAAAAACAAAAAATAAAATGAGACAGGGACGGGAAGCTCTTTATAAACTACAAGAATAATTCTAATGTATCTCTCCAATAATGATAAATACTTTGGCCGTTAATTTTTTTTAAGTTGCATCATTTAAAGATGGCTTTACAAATCAGTGGGAAAAGATGGACTGTTCAACAAATGTTGTGAGGAAACTGGATAGGCCTCTGGAAAAAATGAAAGTAGGAGCCCCAACTCCCACCATACACAAGGATACGATCCAAATGGAAAAAAGATCTAAATGTAAAAATGAAACCATGAAAGTATTAGAAGAAAACATGGGAGGATTCTTATAGTCTTGGAATGGGGAAAGTCTTCCTAATCATTATTCAAAATTCTGAAAGGCTAGGTGTGGTGGCTCATGCCTGTAATCCCAACACTTTGGGAGGCCGAGGTGGGAGGACTACTTGAGGCTGGGAGTTCGAGACCAGCCTGGAAAATAGAGCAAGACTACATCTCTATTAAAGAAAAAGGGTTCTAACTGTCTTCAGTAGATAGTGTTGTTCCCACACTACAGATGAAGGAACAGAGGCTGAGAGAGGCTAAATCAATCATGGTGATATGTATTTCCCGCTCTTAGCTCTTATTGCTCTTATTTTCTGGTACCCATTCTTCTAGCATTGGCACCTCCCCATTTGGTACACTGTTTCCCAAAGAAGACTTTCTGATAATGAGTAGGAATAAAGACCGTATAAACATATGGAGGCTGCTTATTATCCTCTAAATAGCCAAGATCCTAAATTAGATCCGTTCTACTCCTGCTCATCAGCCTTTCTTTTTCTGTAGCAAGGTGAGAATCCCGCTGGCCTAACTTCTCAATATGGCAAGGTCTTGGTTTTATCCCTGGTGTCTTTGGCCAGAAAGGTGTAAAAGGTCATTATCCAACGATGTCACAGCTCAAATCAGCCCCAGATCTTCTTTTCCTATTGGGAGGAAAATGTTGGTTTTCTAAAGTTCTTTTTTGATTTAGAATTTCCTCATCTTGACCTTTTGGATTAGACTGTACCCGGAAAACAGAAAAAATATTCTGAGTTGAGACCAGGTCCTCTAAAAAGTCTCTTTCCTATGAAACAGCTAACACATGGAGTTTCATAATTAGAATTTTTTGTTCTTTTTTCTTGAAATGTTAGCTTCTGTTAAAATGCAAGTAGCCCCTGGGAAGGTTTATACTCAAGTTTTATTGACTATGTCCACTTTAGTGTGAATTCATTTATGAGATTATTTATTTGGAGCATATTTCCTCAGAGGAAGTAGGAGGCAAAGGAGGATAAGTAGTAGAAGGAGAAAACTAAGAGGAGAAGCAGGGGATACTACTGATGGGGAAAAGAGTGCAGTAATGGAGAAATGGAGACAATTACCAGAGGTTTACCTCCCCCAGTCACTTCTGAGATACGACTGGGAAGCACAGGCAGGGTGAAACAAGCTGATATGAAAGGTGCCATTAGGAATGAAGTAAATTAGACAGGTTCTCTGAACCCTGAGGGGAGGCTCTAGTTTAACACCAGAACCAGTCATCTCATTCTTTTCACATATTCTACTTGGTCACTTTTGGCACTGCTCAGGACCCTTCATAAGCTAGAATTAATTTGTGACCAGAAATCAGACCCAACCATTCATAGCATGTAATTGCAGCTGTCCCCTACTGTCAGCAAGCACAAGCTCCCCAGGCAATTTACTACCTGGACAAAACTGCATTTTATAAGCTTCTCTGTTCTCAACTGTCATTCAATATCCTCCTAGATTCCTCGTCTATAAAATCCTAAATCTCCAAGTTAGGATTCCAAGTTTCTTTACAGTGGCCAAGAGTGTCTCTGTTCCCACCGTTATATTGTTATTGCACACACCTTCATTTAGGTTACATGCCGAGTCCTCTGCTGCCCTTTGGTGAAAGTCCAAGTAAAGGCAAAACTATGTTGAAAAGGATATCAGCAAAATGGCAGGCTAGGAAGGGTGAAGCTTTTATTTCCCCACAGACACATATGAGGGGAAAACAAGCAGAAACTGTTTGAACCAACTTTATCAGAACTCTGGAAAACAAAGTTGACAGCTACTAAGCAAATGTCCAATCAAGAAAAAGCCATCTTCAAAATGGTAGGAAAGTTTTGTGACATTATTTATTACTCACTCTTACCCCACCCTTCTCCATTATGTGGTTTTGGTCTTGAACTGGTAACAGCCTAGTTCCCAGTACCCTTTCTTGAACCAGAAGGAGCATAGCAGACCTTGTTCACAAATTATTATGTATGTCTGTTGTGGCAGATACTTGAAAAACTGAAACAAAGAGATAGTCTCTGTTTTGCCTAACTTAGAACTCAGGTGAAAAAAGTGGTAGGCACTACTCACAAAACCAGCAAGGCGACTGCAGATCCACAGACTCCTGGGACAAAAAATTATGGGTGAAGATATATAACAGACCATCTAAACCCCAGAGGAGAAGTTGCAGTACGACTAAGTAATTCAGATGCTCAAAAGCAGCCATATATATGAGAGAGTTTAGGAAGCCATGCGCATGTCCGTGCAAGATGCATGCTCAGAAAAGACCTGAGAAGACCTTAAGCTTCCACCTTGAGCTGATCCCTAGGCACAAAACAAGCTCAGCTAAGTGTTAAAAGAATGCCCTAGGACCAGCCGGGCACGGTGGCTCACGCCTGTAATCCCAGCACTTTGGGAAGCCGAGGTGGGCAGATCACAAGTTCAGGAAATCAAGAACATCCTGACTAACATGGTGAAACCCTGTCTCTACTAAAAATACAAAAAATTAGTCGGGCATGGTAGTATGTGCCTGTGGTCCCAGCTACTTGGGAGGCTGAGGCAGAAGAATTGCTTGAACCTGGGAGGCGGAGGTTGCAGTGAACCAAGGTTGCACCACTGCACTCCAGCCTGGGCAACAGAGTGAGACTCTGTCTCAAATTTAAAAAAAAAAAAAGAATGCCCTTGGATAAGGCCAATCTACAAACACTGACAAAACTGCTGGCATTTAAACAACATCGTTGTTTAATCTTTGTTAAAGCATTAACTAAACATGAGCTAATGGAACAGAGATTTCAGTGATCCAACACAACAGCCTCTGCAAAAATAGTTAAGAAAACTCTCAAAACTAACAGACTATTATAGCCTTCAACAACCAAAAAACAAAAAGAAAAAGAAAACAGAAAACCCTGGACAAAGGGAAGAATGTCCTTTCCAGTCACCATATTATAATGATTGGACATTTGCCCAATTTAAAAAATCACAAAGTATACAAAGAAACAGGAAAATACGACTCATTTAAAACAACAAAATAAATTGACAGGAGCCATTCCTGAGGAAGCCCAGGCTTCAGACTTAGACAAAACTCTATATGATTTTAAAAAAACCTAAAGGAAAAAGAAGTAAAAGAAATCAGGAAAAGAATGCTTTTGTTTGAATATTTGTGTCTACCCAAAATTCATATGTTGAAATCCTAACCTCCGAGATCTTAGGAAGGGAGGCCTTTGGGCGGTAATTCGGTAATTATGACAAATTTCCTCATAAAAGTGGCCTCTTGGCCAGGCGCGGTGGCTCATGCTTGTAACCCCAGCACTTTGGGGGGCCGAGGTGGGCAGATCACCTGAGGTCAGGAATTTGAGACTAGCCTAACCAACATGGAGACACCCCATCTCTACTAAAAATACAAAATTAGCTGGGCATGGTGGTACATGCCTGTAATCCTAGCTACTTGGTAGGCTGAGGCAGGAGAATTGTTTGAACCTGGGAGGCAGAGGTTGTGGTGAGCCAAGATTGCACCATTGTACTCCAGCCTGGGTAACAAGAGCGAAACTCCATCTCAAAAAAAAAAAAAACGAAAAAACAAGGACCTGTTAGCCATGCTGTCCTATGAAAACACAGTAAAAAGATGGCTGTGAATGAACCAGGAAACAGGTCCTCACCAGGCAGCAAATCTCCTGCCTCCTTGATCCTGAACTTCCCAGAACTATGAAAAATAAATTTCTGTTGTTGTTTATAAGCTACGCAGTTCATGGTATTTTGTTAAACTAGCCCAAACAGACTAAGACAAATGACATATAAACAAAATGAGAATATCAACAAAAACAAGAAATTATAAAAAGAAACCAAAAGATAAGAAATTATAAAAAGAAACCAAACAGAAATTCTGGACAGGGACAGTGACTCATGGCTGTAATCCCAGCAATTTGGAAGGCCAAGGCGGGCAGATCACTTGAGGTCAGGAGTTCAAGACCAGCCTGGCCAACATGGTGAAATCCCATCTCTACTAAAAATAAAAAAATTAGCTGTGCATGGTGGTACACACCTGTAGTCCCAGCTACTTGGGAGGCTGAGGCAGGAGAATTGCTTGAACCCAGGAGGCAGAGGTTGCAGTGAGCCAAGATTGTGCAACTGCACTCCAGCCTGGGTAACAGAGCAAGACCCCATCTCAAAAAAAAAAAAAAAAAAAAAAAAAAGAAAGAAATTCTGTAGTTGAAAACTATGATAATTGAAATAAATATTCACCAGAGATTCAACAGCTAATTTGAACAAGCAGAAGAAAGAATTAGCAAACTTGAGACAAGGACAATTAGAATTATAAAGTCTGAAGAACAGAAAGAAAAAAGAATGAAGGAAAATGAATAGAGTCTGAGGGAACTATGCGTTACCATGAAGCAGCCTAATATATGTATTATGGAGATCTCAGAAAGAGAAGAGAGAGAAAAAGGGGAAGAAAGGTATTAAAGAAACCTTGGCCAAAACACCTCAAATTTCGTAAAAGACACACATCAACAACTCCAAAAAGCCAAATAAACTTCAAGTATGATAAGCTCAAAAAGATCCACACCAAGACACATTATAATCAATCCATCGAAAGACAAAGAAAGACTCTTGAAAACAGCAAGAGAGATGCAACTCAGTCAGGAATCTTCAATGAAAACACCACAATTGTAAGATTTTTACTAGCACAAAAAAAAAAAAAAGAGAAT